TGCAGAGAAGGCGTGGTTTGCGGATGGACGCAGCGCCGTGGTCGATGGTTAGCGCCGAGCAGGCTACGCCGTGGTCTCCCTCCACACCACCACGCCACGGCAGAAGCAAGGGCGCTCTCCCCGGGAACATCAGCACCAAAGACAGAACTCACCACCCTGACAAGAGCGTCAGAATTAGGGACAGGGAAAATGGGGACTATCTGTACTGATTCCACATATGCCTGCTCTGTTATCCATGCTCACGGGGCCATTTGGAAGGAAAGAGGCCTACTGTCAGCTGAGAGTCAGGAAATTAAATATGGAAGGGAAATTCTCAGGCTGCTTTCACTGACCCAAAGGACGCTGAGGTTGTGCACGGCAAAGGCCATCAGAAGGGGGACTCAGAAAAGACCAAGGGAAATCATTTGCCTGATGTAACTGCCAAACGAGCAGCCTCCCAAAGAGGGCCTCATTCCCTCTTACTCTATCAATTCATCGCCAAGTACACCCCAGAAGAAACAGAGACAGCTAAGAGGGCTGGCTTCCAGAGGTCTCCTGCCTCAGGGGGCTGGATGATGGACAGTAAAGGAAAGGTCTGGTTACCTAGAAACACAGCCTGGGGTATAATTAAGTTCGCTCGCAGCTCCACTCACCATGGAAAGGAAACCTTGCACAACTGGCTCCTGGGCACAGTGAGAACCCCGGGTTTAGAGGAGATAATAGACAGGCTAACGGAGCACTGTGTACACTGCCAAGAAAATAATGCGCACAGCAGGCCACCAATACCCACTCTAGAGAGAGCCGTGCTGTCCAGGGGACCCCGCCGGGGAGGACTGGCAGGCGGACCTCACGGTTACGCCAACTGCCCCAGGAGGATTCAGGGGTCTCTGGGGTTTTGTGGACGCCTCTACTGGGTGGGTGGAAGCCTCTCCTTGTACACAGAAAAGGCAGCGGAAGTGATGAAGGAGATCCTCCTAAGGTCTGGACCGCCTATGTCAGTCCAAAGTGACAACGGCCCTGCCTTCATGTCAAAGGTAGGTGCCAGGGGTTCTCAAACACTGGGAACACGATGGAAGCTGGACGCGGCCTGGAGACCTCAGTCTTCGGGGAAAACTGAAAGAACCAACCGCACCCTGAAGGTCACTCTGGCCAAACTCTGCCAAGAGGCAGAGGACAACCGGCTGACGCTCTCGCCATTGCCCTGACCCGCATCCGGGCTGCTCCTAGAGGACAGCTTAAGCCGAGCCCTTCTGAGATGTTGTACAGAAGGGCCTTTCCAGGGGATAATGGGTCAATAAGGCACCCTGATGAAGAGGTCGGATCAGCTGTAAAGCACATCGTTAACGTGGGGCAGGTAACGTCTCCCCGTCATCAACATGTCAGTCTGAGTCCGCCTTCTCCTCCAGGAATAAAGCTTCATCCCTGTGAGCCAGGGGGACGGGTGGACTTGAAATCCCAGAAGTCTGGGTCCCCCGGACCAGCCTAAGCCCGTTTGGACAGGACCTTACCTGGTCTTACTAACTGCTCCCTCTTCTCTTCGACTGCAAGGCTGAACCCCTGGACCCAGCACGCTCGGGTTATAGAAGCTCAAGAGCTGGAAACTGTCACTGTTCCCACCCACTCCTACTCCTGCGAACCAGTATCAGACTTGACGCTCCTGCCCAGGGAGGGAGCCCAGGACCCAGGGATGAGTAACGCCTGAGTCTCCAGCTCATACCATAGCGTGCATCCTTGTCCACCTTTACCCACAAAGGGCTCTAACACAGACCCCTTAATTCCCCGGGGGGCCTGGTGCAATAGTAAACCTTTCTAGAATCACAGTCAAAGGTAATGGATTATCCCAATGTGGATATACCATAGGCACCCTGAAACCAAAAGTGGATTGCCTGTCGCATACCTCATACCCTCGGAACCCAACATTAGCCTCTGTGAAGGGCCCCCAAAGGCTTTTAGTGGACCCCCTTCTATTGCGGTAGAGTTGGGCTTCTCAGATATAAGCCTAAAATGTTTGAATCTCACCCCAGTAACAAATCTCACTAGCCATGAGGGGGTAACGTATCTGAACTGCTCTTCTATCAGTGACACCTGTCACCACTGCTCTGCAGCAAAGTGCAACATTAACCGATCCTCCACATACCCATCACTTTCAGTATTACCCAATCCTCCAGCCCCAATGACACTCACTGGTGCCCTAAAACTGAAAGGCATATAAAAAGCCTGAAGGAAAAGTTTCTAAACCAATGCAAGTTCTGCACAGGAACACAAAAGCAAAAGCCCCTTGGATACTGGGGGCTTACTTATCTGTCTCCTCGGGCAGCTGGAAGGGTACCCACAGGCCCCATAAAACACAACTTCACTCATGGGGGACCGTTATCTCCCAGTTGCACAGACAGTGCTCCCAGCCGGAGCATTCCATTACTCAACTGGTTTAACAGCACCACGCCCCGATGGGTCCGTGCACCCCCGGGATACATCTTCCTCCACAGCTCCCTATCATCCCCCTTCTGCTGTCTTCCTTTTCCCACTGCTTACAATAGCCCACCTGTGCTCAGATAACGTACAAGACGTGGAACAATGTACAATGGGAACGACAGGTCCCACAGGTATAACAATATACAACCACACCCAACACCGTCCCAGGGAGAAAAGGGCTATTGGATGGATCCTGGCAGGAAACAGATTAACAGTAGGACTGGCCACACCCTGGGGAGGATGCATATACCATGAAGGGACTCTAAAGAACCTAACTAAACCTCTTGAAATATTGGCCAGTAATGCAAGAAAAGCACTCCACAATATACGAGAACCCTTCAAACTGTAACCAAACTCAACCGGCTCGTCTCTTGGTGAGTGCAGAGCTGAAAAGCACAACCAAGACTGAAGTGGGTGAAGAAAAAGGTTTACTGCTTGCACAAGCAATGGAGAACATGGGGATAGGTCCCAAAGCAGTGCTGTCATCACCCCCCCACCCAGCCTAGTGCTGGTGGAGACTTTACACACAAGAGTGAGAGGAGGGGCTGGCCCGGTGGCGTAGTGGTTAGGTTCACACATTCTGCTTTGGCGGCCTGGGGTTCACTGGTTTGGATGCTGGGCATGGACCTACTCATCACTCATCAAGCCATGCTGAGGCGGTATCCCACATAGAAGAACTAGAAGGACCTACAACTAGGATATACAACTATGTACCAGGGCTTTGGGGAGAAAAAACAAAAAGAGAAAGATTGGCAACAGATGTTAGCTCAGGGCATATCTTCCTCAAAAAAAGGAATGGAGAGGATATGTTACCACTGTGAAACAACTGGGCCTCATCAGGGCACACAGCCAGGCTATTACATAAGGAGTTCATGGTACCATTACCTAAGGAAGTCAGCGTAACAGACTATTACATAACAGAGTCAATGCAACATCTGCAAAAACGGGGACATCAACCTCTGAAAAACAGCACATTTCATTTTCTCCTTGTCTGGAAAACATGTGACAGACTGTGTTAGTTATTGATCAGATTCTCAGTAACCCTTTCCTTGCCCGGTTCCCGCTCCCAGATTCACTAGCTAATGTGGTGCTGGATACACAAGGACCTTAGATTTCCTCCTGGCTGAGCAAGGAGGTGTATGCGCCATGATTAATGCTTCCTACTGTACATGGGTGAATACTCCACGGCGAGTTGAGGTGAATATTAAGAAAATCTTTCACCAAGCTACGTGGCTACACACCTTTAACCAGAAAGGGAGTACAGCTACTGAGGTATGGGACACTGTAAAAAGGGCCATCTCCTCTCTAACCTGGTTCTCGCCTTTGATAGGCCCCCTTTTACTTCTGTTATTATTAATTTTTGGCCCGTGCATCTTGAATATACTAGTTAAGTTTGTTAGCTCTCTGTTGGAACAATTCAAGTTAAAATGATGCTTCTGGCGTGGTACCAACCATTGCAAAACTCCTCACATAGCCCTGAAACTTATCTTAGCCTGGCAGAACAAGAGTGTTACTCCTCTAAGTCCCCTGATAACGACCTCCATCAGCAGGCAGCAGTTACAGAAGACTGAATGCCTCATCCTGAAGAATGAGGAAGAGAATATCTCATGGGGGGATTTGTGACCAGAAAACCAGGCAAGGAAAGGGTTACTGAGAATCTGATCAATAACTAACACAGTCTGTCAAATGTTTTCCAGACAAGGGGGAAACTAAATGTTCTGTTTTTCAGAAGTTGATGTTCCCGTTTTGCAGATGTTGCCATCTTGCAGAAGAAACTTCCACGCCTGCAGCAAAACCCCTGCAAACGGCTCCAGCCCCAAGCAACTAAAAGTTACCTTGAACTCCTTACGAAATGGCATTATGTAACGGCATGTTCCTTAACTCGTTATATACGGGCCTGCTTACCCGCTGCACGTGCGCCCTGACTGAGCACAGTCGTTACACACTTGTAACAAGTACACCCGTTACCCCCTGCACTCTCCTGTGTCAAGTCTGCACAGGCACTGAGCTGGGGGGACACTGCCCTGGGGGCTGTCCCCGGTGTTCACTGCTCCTGCCAGCAATAAACCTTCCCTTCACCCACTTCAGCCTTGGCTGTGCTTTCCAGCTCCACGCTCAGCAAGAAACGAGCCCCCTGAGTTCGGTTACACTTGCCCAGCGGGGAAAAGCCCTTTTCCGGGGGTCGGCGCTGGAGGACCTGAGACCCGCCCGGCCCCCGGTCTCCGGAGCAGAGTCTCCTCCCCCAGGCCGCACGGCCTCCCCCGTCAGGTCCAGGGCGGGGCCCCCGCGCCGCCCCCCACCGCCCCCGCCCTGACCGCCCGGCCGGGGGTCGTCCCTACCCCTCCGACCCCGCCCGGCCAAGGACTCGCGGGGAGGACGGGGAACCCGGGACCCCCACGCGGGGCCGGGACGGGAGCCGGGACCCTCCCCGCGGCCGAGGGCGGGGACTCGGGGGGGGGGGGCGAGGGGCGCGGGGAGACCCGGGCCCGCAGCTGCTTCCAGCCGGTTCCGGCCGGTTCGCACCAGCCCGGCCCGGCCCGCGCACTCACCATCTCCGCCCGCTCCGGAGCCTCCGGGCGTCCTCCCCGCGGCCCCGGCAGGTGACAGCGACGGGGACGGGACACCTGGGGCCGCGCGGGGCAGGTGCGCGCGGGGACGCGGGCGGATGGGAGCGACGTCCAGGCGGGTGCGAGCGCGCCCGCCCCCGGCTCTGATTGGACGGGACTCCGGGAACCTACGTCCTGATTGGCCGGTGCTCCTGGCACTCCCCGTCTGGTGATCCGGATTGGACAGTGAGGCCCGGGCGTGCCTCATTGGTTCCTGGGCACCGCGCTGAGGCCCTGGATTAAATTTAGCCAAGAACCCGCCCCCTGCATCTTGAGTGACAGGCGTCCAGACACCGTAGCTGACCCGCCCGCCTGGGACGTGGGCTCCGAGCAGAACCGGCCCAGGACGGGTAGATCCGGGGTCGGCCTGAACCTCGGCGGCGCCGCCTCTGTCCTCTTCCCGGCCCGGGAAGGTCAGACTACACTCCCCGCGGGGCCACAGTGGATGTGTGCTCTGTGTTTACTAACAAAGACCCGAGTGACGTCACCGCGTGCAGGGCAGGGTCGGCTCTGATTCCACAGGTGACCTTTGACACAGGAGGCCACTCCCTCCCCCCCAACTTCTGGGACTTGGGGTCAGCAATCCTGACCCCAGGACCTTTGCACCTGTGGGAATGGGACTCTGTGGCACCAACCGCGCACCGGACTCATCTCAGCACAGCCACAGTGGAAGATGGTAGAAGTCCCAGGTGTGCATTTTACTCCAGGAAATTTATGTCACATCAGATTTTTAGTCTCAGAGAATTTTGAAATGTAAAAGGCTATATTTCTTATTTATTTATTTATTTATTTTTATGAGGAAGATCAGCCCTGAGCTAACATCCATGCTAATCCTCCTCTTTTTTTTGCTGAGGAAGACTGGCTCTGAGCTAACATCCATCGCCAATCCTCCTCCTTTTTTTCACCAAAGCCCCAGTAGATAGTTGCATGTCATAGCTGCACATCCTTCTAGTTGCTGTATGTGGGACGCGGCCTCAGCATGGCCGGAGAAGCCGTGCGTCGGTGCGCGCCCGGGATCCGACCCCGGGCCGCCAGTAGCGGAGCGCGCGCACTTAACCGCTAAGCCACGGGGCCGGCCCATATACATGCATTCTTTCATAAACATTGCTTTGAAGATGCCTTTCAAAAGGTTGTGAAAGTTCTCATTTATTCCTAAGTGACTAAATATTTGTCATGGATGAATGTTGAAGTGTATAAAATGCTTTTTCTCCATCTATTGAGATACTTTGAGATGATTTTTTTCAATGTGGCATTGTGGTGAGTTATATTAAATGATATCATAACATTTTACTGTAAAATATATCTGCAGAAAGATGCATAAAACATACATTTGACAGAAACATTACAGAATAAACATCCATGACATCACAACCCGGACAAGACAGAGAAGCTGCCATCACAGCCGCAGACCACTGGGGTTGAAGGCTGGTCAGAGGCCCCACCCTGCCCTCTCGCTGCCACCAACATCCCAAACTTTTAAAAGATAATTTCCTTTCGTTTGTTGATAGTTTCATCATGTGTATGCAATAATTTTTTGTTTTATATTGCATGCAAATAGAATCAAACAGTATGTACCATTTTATAGCAACTATCTTTTGTTCAAAAGTGTTTAGAATCTCCATAGTTTAGCACTTCATTCATTTTCTTAATCTATTCTTACCCCTGTAGGACTACACTGTTTTTGTGTTGTGTTGTGTTGATTCAATTGCTAGAATCAATTTGGCGGTTCCACATTTTTGCTATTGGGACCAATGATTCTAATAACATTCCATTTAAAATTTTTAAAAATTCTACTAAAATCTAATAACATTCGTCTATGTTTTCTTCTGCTTTAGTTTGTCCTAATCTCATCTCCATCTCAACATGCCTGGAGTTGAACCCTGTCCACAAAACCCTTCTCCCTGTTCGAGGACTGAGAGGAGGCACATTAAAAGAGACGGAGCAGCCATTTCAGGGGAACTGCCTTGCAGGTCTTTTTTCCTTTATCTTCCAAACGGGACAAAACCGGGAACATTCCAAGAAGTCAGGAAAGACAAGAATATCCTGTTTGTAGGGACTGATGAAATTGGACTTGGCTGATGACCCAATCGATAACCAATCAATGAAGCACGAACCTAGCCTCACTCATCCAGCACCAATGAACTCTTTATTACCACTCACCTCATCTTCCTCCCTTTGTTCCATACATCCTGTGCCCCTCTCCTGTAATGGGGACACTGTTTGGGTTTCTCCCAGTATCTGTGCTCCTGAAATTGCAATTCTCTGATCTCAAAATAAACGCCTCTCTCCCTTTCATTTTGACTCTTTATTCTTTGCTTAACACGACCTATATCTTAGTTGATGGCAACATAAATTTCCTTGCAGTAAACGCACACGTGAGAATTCTAACATCTCACACTGCGGCTGTGCTGAGACGAGTCCTGCGCGCAGGCTGGGGCCGCGGGGTCCCATTTCCCACGGGGACAAAGGACCTGAGACCGCAGTGTTCTGACCCCAATCCCCAGAGTCAAAGGTCACATGTCAAAACCCAGCCAGACTCTGCCTTGCACGCGGCGACGTCACTGTTGAGTGTCTGTTCTTAAAGGGCACAGATCCACGGTGACTCCGCCCCAGGGCCGACCCCTGACCCTGGAGGTCACCAGGCCCCCCTGTCCCATCCTGTCCTGGCTCCAGACAAGGGGCGCTCCAGGGAAACTGAGTCAGGACTTCCCGGTCCAAGAGGAGGACGCAGGCAGGGCTGCCAAGCTGCGGGCAGACGCCAGGTCCACCGGCCGGGAGCAGCTCCTGCTCGGAGCCCACGACCGCAGCGGCCGGGTCCCAGTCCGGCATGGAGGGGCTGAGGCCGAGAACCCGCACTTCCGCCCGGCCCAGCCACGTGACCACCGCCAACGCCAATCACGCACGCCCTAGGGGATTGTAACACTGTCCAATCAGGGACGACGGGGGCGGGACCTGGAGAAAAATCGGGAGCGCTGGGGCCGCCCGGGATCGCTCAATCAAGGGACAGAGGAGGATCTGAACGACTCTGTAATCAGTACCCGGGGGCGGGCCGGAGCACTGTCCAATCAGAGTCTCCGGGCGGGGGCGTGGCTGGAATACTGTCCAATCAAGACTTTGAGGGCTGCAGCACCGTCCAATCAGAGCCGGGGGCGGGCGCGCTCGCATCCGTGTGGCCGTCGCTGTCGTTCGGCGGCGACCCCGCGCGCACCTGCGCCGCGGGGCCCCAGGTGTCCCGCCCCCGTCGCTCTCACCTGCCGGGGCCGCGGGGAGGACGCCCGGAGAGTCCGGAGCGGGCGGAGATGGTGAGTGCGCGGGCCGGGCCTAGAACAGGCCGGAACCGGCTGGAAGCGGCCGCGGGCCCGGGTGTCCCCGCACCCCCGGGTCCCCTCCGAGTCCCCGCCCTCGGCCGCGGGGTGGGTCCCGGCTCCTGTCCCCGCCCCGCGTGGTGGCCCCGGGTCCCCGGAGTCCTTGGCCGGGCGGGGTCGAGGGGGACGGGACGACCCCTGGGGGCGGCCGCGGGGTGACGGTCCTGGTGGCCCTCACAGCTGCGTCCCAGCGCAGCACGGATCATCCTGCTTCCCTGCGACCTCAGGTTTCAGTAAACGTAAAGTAACGGACCCCTTTCCGTTTTTCTTCTACTGAGAATAGTAAGTTTTTCAGGCCTGCTCTTTGCCCCCTTATGCTGACTCGTGTTGTTCTGGGGCTCAGCGTGGCAACGTCCTCTCTTGCGTGTTAGTCGTGGGGTAAAATGCAGAAAGTTCCACACAGCCCATCAGCATCCTAAGTGAGCATCGTGTAAGGACGGCCAGGCCGAGACCTAGAAGAAGCCTTCGCAGCAGACACCCTACTTGAGTGACTCCTAAGACAGGCCTCCTCTCTCTGGGTGAATTATAAGCATATGCCTCCCTGTCAGTGGATTTTATTTTTGCATATTTTCTTTTGAATGCAAATGGTGTCAAACTGTATGTGTAATTGTATGTCAGTTTTCTTTTATGCAGATATATCTGTTTTCCATGGAATGGCAGTTCATTCACTTTTGTTGCTCTGTGGTGTCCCCTGATGGGACTGCACCGTTTTCCTTTCTTGATTCTACTGCTAGTGACCACGTGGGTGGCTTCAGAGTTTTCTATTATGACAAACGCTTCTAAAATCATTATTGGATATCTCTTGCACTCGTCTTCTCAAACTTTCCCATCCTGGACCCCTGTTCCTCACACCAAAAACATGTTCCATGTGTGTCGTTCTGTTTCGTGGTAGCCCTTTTGGGGTGAAATCAACTCCCCACCCTGACCCAAAATGGGTTTGGATGTTGTGGGAGAGGAAGAAACTTTACTCTTGTAGGTTCTTCAGGCTGGTCTAAGAAACAAATCAACACAAGACAGATTAACAGGAGAAAAATCAAGTTTAATTTTGTATGTACAGGAACGTCACATGCATGAGAGAGTCAAAGACCCCATGTACATAAGAGGTTCAGAGACAGAAAGGTAAAATAAGGTATATATGCCATTTTGAGCTAAGGAATGGGATAGGGGCCTGGGGCTTCTGAGGGAAGCAGGGTGATTTGCAGGACAATGAGAAGAACAGATGTTCAGTAACTAGAGGTTTGCTTTGCCGTACACATGGGTCGTAAAAACTAATTTCTGGTAGTAACTCTTATTATGGGCAGGGGCCTCAATTTAAATTCTTTAAGGGAGAGGTAAAAGTTTCTCTTGAGCCCGCAGGGTGTCAACTGCCTTCAGCTCAAAGTAATTCACGTACCAAAGTGGCACATCTTAGGGAGGCCTGTTCGGAGCCTCTTCAATGTCAAGACTGATGTCACGTACACCAAGAGAATAAGAAAATAGTTGGCAATCTGGGGAGATCACGGCAGGTGTCAGCTCTTGCAAATGACCAGGGAGAGTGAGTGGGTGGGGTCTCTACAGTGGCGGGGGCTGGGACTGGGGGTTCATGAGGTTTCACCTTCCCAACCACCAGGTTACAGGACATGTGACACTCGTGGGCCTCCTTATGGGTTTGCCCGAAGTGGACCAGGCAGAGAAGAGGGGTGGGGATGTCAAAGCTGTTACCTGTCAGACCACAGGTGAAATAGAGTGAAGCCAGCCTCTATTATGATTGAT